CTCTCGCTGAAATAAATCATGAATTCAGTTTCCCTCCACGACCAAAACCCCATACGCCACCGGTTCAGCAATAATATCCGCTCTCTCCATCGCCCTGTCCAACTCCTGAATACGCCGCTCGTAATCCGCTTGCGCAGTATCAATTTGTGACCGTCGCATTCGTTGGAGCTTCTCGTCGGCAGCTTGTTCGAGTTGTTCCTGAAGCAGTGCCAGCCGCACTTGGTGGCTCGTGGATAGGCTCTCTCCTCGATACGCGGCGAGTTCCCGGGTTCGCTGTTGATGCTGTGTACGCGCCTCGGACCACAAGGCATGATGTTGTGCATCCAGTTCGTCCCACACGGCAGATGTACTGCCTGCTCGGTCGTCTGTCGCGGCGTCTACCGCTTTCTCAAGCAGGCGATCAAGGTGTAGTGAAATAGCGGGCGATGAGGCAATCGGCTGGGCGTAGGTCTCAAATTGACCAGTTAGGCGGCCCGTCCGTGCGCCAATTTTGTAGATAAACCAACAATACCCCAGAGGAGTGCTGCCCATCACCCACCGTCCTACGTGACACTTTGTCACCTCGCGCATCAATCATGTCCCCAAGCCGTACCAAACCCCCTCAGAATCGCTCAATTTCGGACTTACACCCAAATCGGCTTGAGCATCAAGTCATCCCGAATACCGTAAAACCGCCACTGGTAAGCGGCAAAATCGTAGCGGCCTGCAGGCACTTTGCCGGTCCGCGCTTTCAATGTGGTGGTCACTCGGCGTTGCGTATCGAACGACATGGCGGCCTGCTTGACCAGCGGGTGAAGCGGCATAATGAAGGCGGCTTTCGGATTCTGGCTTGCACAATCCGGCTCGAAGGTGACGGACAGATGCGGTTCGCTTCCCTTCAGCCAAGTTTCCCACTCTCGATAGACAGGGGTGTTCTGCCTTGGGAGTTGCTGAAAGTCTCGTAACAGGATATTTCGCGCGTCTTGTGAAAGACGCAGCGTTTTCAGCGGTCTCTCGCCGAGGATAAATGCCTGCTCCTTCCCGCAGGTGGTTTGCAGATAGAGCGTGACCAGCCTGTAGAGTGACGGCGGAGACAGCCAGTAGCTGGAGGCTTCTTCGATCTCCTGCTTCATCTGATCTTTGGGCAGACGAAGGCCAAAAAGCTCCAATTGCCGCTGTTCCAACTTTTCCTGTTCTTGTATCAGGCGAATCTCATTGTCCGCCAGCTGTTGCAACTTGGCCCGGCGGTCTTCTTCGTTGAGAGAATAATTTTCTGCGATGTTTCTGATCTCTCTGGAGATGTCCCCAAGTATTTCTTCGCTGCTGCCCAAGGCGTTCTCGAATACGCGATACGCACGATCCTACAAGCAGCGCTCATAAATGTCCGCGTCAACGGTTCCCGCCGCTTAATCGAGTGACAATGCAACGCTTCGCGCTCTGCTGGCATTACGGTCGATGCGGCCGATCCGTTGCTCGACACGCATGGGGTTCCACGGCAAGTCGTAGTTCACAATGCAGTCGCAAAACTGGTAGTCCAATCCTTCGCAGCCAACCTCCGAGAACAGCAGCACGTCAAGACAGTCGCCATCCTCCCGCGGTTTCTCGAAATGGACCCGAAGCGCAACACGCTCCTCGTCGGGCGTGCCGCCGTGAATCATGCCGACGCGGATACCGTCCGCCCTGAGATGTTCGTCCAAATAGGCAAGCGTGTGCCGAAAGCTGCTGAACAGCATGATCTTGTTGTTGGGCAGGTCTTGCTTGTCCCGAATGATTTTACGCAGGGCTTCCAATTTCGGGTCGAAGGGGTCGAGGGATCGCGCTTTCTCTATGATGGTTTCAATCTGCGTGCGGATTGAGTCGATGGCGTCGCCTGATGAGACGAACTCCGCGCCGTCGGTTTCCGTCCATTCCAGTTCGTCAATGCGACGATTCAGGATACTGTCAAGAAACGGGGCCAGTCCCATCAGGCAACTGGCCGCCTGGCGTCGAATCGTGGTCATCATGAACTTGACGTTGGCGAGTGGACGCAGCCGGCTGAGAATCTCAATCTGGACTCGCATCAACTCGTCGTGAAGCCGCTGTTGTTCAGGCGTGAAGGCAACCGTGACGGTCTCCGGTTTCCGAATGGTGAAGGCCCCGATGTCGCGCCGGCGCGTACGATTTATGATTCCTGAGAAGGTGTGCAGGGCTTCAAGGTCGGTAATGAGTTGGATTCGTTCATCAGCAGCAACGCGGCCATCGGCAAGCTGGCCCCTGATTCGCCTGAATTCAGGATTGTGTCTGAGAATTGCTCGCCCCCAACCGGTTGCCGATGCTTGGTCGAGAGCGGCGGTCACGTGCCCCGTCCAACCCTGTTCTTGGGCCCGCGCGCAGTTCACCGCCTGGTTGATAAATGGATTGGGCTCCGCCATGTGCTCGAAGCTTTCCTGATCCAGAACAAGGTCAGGACGGAGCGTGTTCAGCAGCACAAACAGATCATGGTTGCCAAGTTGAATAGGCGTGGCAGTCAGAAAAATCGCGGCTTCGGCGGGGTCGCAGAAGAACCGAACCGCTTGGTGAGCGTAGGTGTTCGGATTTCGGATATGGTGCGCTTCGTCCACGATAACGAGATCAAAGCGCGGGGACGGGTCCAATGCCAGAAGCCCCTGCCCCCTCTTTTTCCTGTTCTTGCCATTGGAACCCGGGCCGTAAAGGAGCGCCTCGTCAAACAACGAATAAGGGAGAATGGTTTTTCGATGTTGGGCGGGCCATTCTCCATCGAGGTGCATCTCATTGATACAGTATCTCAGGGTTTTTCCATCCAGGTGGGTGAAGCGCTCGTCAAAGCGTTTCATCTCCAGTTCCCACTTGCGCTCGGTCACCAGGGGACGCGGACAAATGATGAGAATGGACCTGATCTCCCGCCGCGCTTGCAACTCCCGCAGAATCAGGCCAGCTTCGATGGTTTTGCCGACCCCCACGCCGTCGGCTATCAACAGGCGCGGGCGGTCCGACCGGATGAATCTCAACACTGGGCGGAACTGGTAGGGGATGAAATCAACGCGAGCCGCGTTGAGTGAATACAGCGTCGACAAACTGGGATGCCGTATTTGCAGGGCGGTCAGGTAGGTCTGAAATTGGGCGGCGGAATAAGGGGAGACGCTATCGCTTTGGTCAACGGCCTGTAATTGGGAGGCGTAATACCTCTGGACGTTGCCATCGACAAAAACCATGATACGGTCTTCCGATGGTCCTGCCTGAACTTTGACGACAACTCCCCTGATGGACGGGTTGGAGGCCAAGCACACTATCTGACCCGGGGGAAAGCCCATTGAAAACTCCTGAACATGGGCAACCGCTATAGGCAGGATTTGGATTCGTTGTCATAACTGTGGCGAGGCCTTTCTGTTTATGGCCTAAACAGGTGAGCGCCAAGCCGTACGGAAGCCGCCAGCATTGTAGGTGATGTTACCGGCGATGTTGGGTTGATAGGCCCTGAGGTGTTTGTGCCAGGCGGACAGATTGTGGGCGCTGATCGTTCTCACCTTCGGTGCCTCGGCGTGGATCAAATTTTCGGCCTCGGTATAAAGCTGGACGCGCTCCACCTTATCCTCCGTGCGCCGTGCTGCGGTGATGAGCTTGTCGTAATCGGCGTTCACCCAGCCTCCGTAGGTCTGTTTCGAGGCCGGGCTTTCGGAGCTCAGTTCCTTGAAGTAATACTCGTGCGGGTCCATGCGGTAGGCGCTGCCCAGCCCGAGGATGTCCCACTCGCGGCTCTTGCGGGCCGCGGTCAACTGCCCCCAGTCCAGGATCTTCAGGTTCACCATGAAGCCGATCTGGCGTAGATGCTGCTGGAAGACCTGCGCCCCCTCTTTGATGTAGTTGTAGCGATTGAACGTGATCATGGTGAGCTGCGTTCCCGGCCGTATACCCGCTTCCTTGAGAAGCCGCCGGGCTTCCTCCGGGTTGTACTCCCAAGACGACACTCCGGGCAGCCGCCAGGGCGATACTTCGGTGTAAAACTGGTCCATGATCTCGCCGTGCCCGAACAGCGTCTTGCGCATGATGTCCTGCTTGTCCACCGCCATGGCCACCGCGCGCCGCACCCGCACGTCGTCGAACGGCGGGCGTTGGGCGTTGAAGTAGTACCAGATGGTGCCAAGCGCCTTGATCTGGTAGGTGTCGAAGGTGTCCGTCCACTCGCTGAAACGCGCCTGGTCGCGGTAGCTGGCGGCATCGATCATGTCGACCTCGCCGGTGCGCAGGGCGGTCAGCCGCACGGTGTCGTCGGCCAGGGGCTTGCCGATGATTTCGTCCAGGTATGGCAGTGCGTTGCCGTCAGTGTCCTTTTCCCAATAAGTATCGTGGCGGGCCATCACGGTGGTGTGCAACCGCTTCCAGGAGACGAACTTGAACGGGCCGGTGGCGATGGGGTGCTGCTTGATCGAGTCGAGGCTTTGCGGGTCGATGATCGGCACCCAGCGGTTGGTGAGCATGGCCGGCAGCGGGTAGTACTTATCCTTCAGCGTCGTCCGCAGGGTGAAGTCGTCGAGCAGTTCGATCTTGTCAATGATGCTTAATTCCCCGCGAATCACCGCGCCGGTTCTGGGGTTCAGGACGCGTTCCAGGTTGGCCTTGACGTCGGCGCCGGTCATCTGCCGGCCGTTGTGAAAGGTGACGTCCTTACGGATATGCCACGTCCAGGTCAGGCCGTCCTTCGACGTTTCCCAGGCGTGCGCCAGGGCGGGCACGACGTTGGTGTTGTAGTCCGCCTCCGTGAGGCCATTGTAGATCAGCGACAGGGCGTTGGAGGTCGGGTACGGCGGGAAGAAATGATGCGGATCGAGCCGGCTGACATCGCCCCGCAGGCCGATCTTGATGGAGCCGCCGTAGCTTGGCTGTGTGGCCGCCTGCGCAGCCGTGGGCGGCAGGCCCAACGCCGCCAGGCCAACAACACTGCTGCCCGCCGCGGCCATGAATTCGCGGCGGCTGAGGCGCAATGCCGCGTCCGTCGTTTCGATTGGTGTCATGCCTTGCAACTCCTATTGCTCGACTTGGCGGGGATCGAGGATGTCCCGCAGACCGTCGCCGAACAGGTTGAATCCCAGAACGGTGAGCGACAGCGCCAGGCCCGGAAAGACGGTCAGCAGCGGGTAGGTTTCCATGAAATTCTTCGCCTCGTTCAGGTCGGCGCCCCACGCCGGGGTGGGCGGCTGCGCACCGAGGCCCAGGAATGCCAGGCCGGCCTCGACGATGATCAGGAAGCCGACGGATACGCTGGCCTGCACGATAATGGGCGACAGGCAATTGGGGAGAATTTGCCGAAAGGTGATGTTGAGGTTGGAATCGCCGATGATGTGCGACGCCTCGACGTATTCCTTCACCTTCTCGGACAACACGCTGCCGCGTACCAGCCGCGCCAGCAGCGGCACCTGGGCGACCCCCAGCGCCATGATGAGCACCAGATCGCTGCCGCCGAAGATGGCCACGACCAGGAGGAAGAACAGAATGCCGGGGATCGCCAGCCAGGCATCGACGAGGCGCATGATGATGTTGTCCAGAGGCACTCGCATCTGGCGGCCGGCGAGGCGCACGGTGGTGGTGCCGTAATAACCGGACACGGCGCCAAGCGGCACGCCGAGCAGGATGCCCAGCACCACGGCGGAGACGCTGATGACCATGGCCCGCCGGGCGCCGTGCACCACCCGCGACCAGATGTCGCGGCCAAAGGGGTCGGTGCCGAACCAGTGCTCCCAACTGACGGGCGCCAGGGCGGCTTCGGTCATGTCGAAGGGGTCGTACCGGGCCAGGACGTCGGCGAAAATGGCGACCAGGACCATCACCAGAACGATGAAGGCGCCGCAGGAAGCCAGCTTGCTCTTCCACAATTCGCCGCCCATGTCTTTCAGGCAGGTCCCGGCGCGGCGTAGCCGGGTGGCCAGGGTCGGCGCCTCAACCTTGATGTCGTCCTGATTCAACAGGCGACTGCTGACGTCGCGTGCGACGCTGTCCGTAGCCATAACCTGTCTCCCCTCCCCTTGCCCGGTTCAACTCAGCTCGACGCGCGGGTTGACCAGGCGATACATCAGATCGACCAAGAGATTGATGCCGACGAAAAAGATGGCCAGAAGCAGCACGGCGCCCTGCAGTACCGGAAAGTCTCGCGCGTTGATGTGCTCGAAGATCAACAGCCCGACGCCCGGCCAGCCAAAGATCGTTTCAATGATGATGGTGCCGCCCAACTGGCGGGCGAACAGCAGGCCGACGATGGTGATGGTGGGAATCAGGGCGTTTTTGAGTGTGTACTTGAAGATGATCTTCCACTCCGGCAGGCCCTGCGAGCGGGCGGTGTAGACGTAGTCCTTGTTGAGCTCATCCAGCATGCTGGAGCGGGTCATGCGGGTGGCCACGGCGCACGGATACGCTGCCAATACGATGGCCGGCATGACGAAGTGTTTCAGGCTGCCGAAGAAGTCCTGCATCGGGTCGACGTAGCCCATGCTCGGCAGCCAGCGCAGGCCGAGCGAGAACAGCAGGATCATCATCAGGGCGAGCCAGAAATTCGGCACCGTGAGGCCGAGCACCGAGGTGCCCATGGCCACGTAATCGGTCATCGTGTTCTTGCGCAGTGCCGCGATGGTGCCCATGGGGATGGCCACCGCAATGGCGAGCACGACGGCGGCAAGGGCCAAGTATAAGGTGGCGGGAAAACGCTCCATGATGAGGCCGCCGACCGGTAGCTGACTGTAGATCGATTCCCCGAAATCACCCTGCAGGGCGCGCCACAGCCAATCGAAATACTGCACCAGAACAGGGCGGTCGAGGCCCAATTCCTTTTCCAGTATGAGGCGGACTTCTTCGTCGAGGACTTCGTCGGGCGGCACCATCATTTCGATGGGCCCGCCGGGCAGGAAGCGGAATATGAAAAAGACGAAGGCGGTGAGCAGGAACAGGATGGGAATGAGGTTCAGCAGGCGCCGCACGGTGTAGGCCAGCATGATATCTCCCTTTTGAACGGCCCGACACTCGAAAGAAGCGGCGCTATTCTACACACAATTCCTGACCGGATAAACGAAAAGCAAAACCGCGTTCCCGGCGGCTGGCGGGTATTCGGCAGGCGCTGGTGTCATAATAGGAAAAAACGGTTGACCGGTTCATCAAAATTGCTCGGAGGACACAATGGCGGAACAGGCAGCACCCTATTCCACGGCCAGAATATGGCTGATTTCGGCCACGGTGATGCTGGCAACGTATGTCTCGGTGATCGATCTGACCATCGTCAACGTGGCAATGCCGCAAATGATGGGCACCTTCGGGGTGACGCTGGATGCCATTACCTGGGTGGCGGTGTCGTACAGCATTGCCGAGATCGTCATGGTGACCATGGCCTCCTGGTTCACCAAGCTGATGGGGCGCAAACGCTTTTACTTGTACTGCCTGGGTCTGTTCACGGTCGCCTCGGTGCTCAGCGGCTTGGCGCGTTCGTTGGAAATGATGATCATCACCCGCCTCCTGCAGGGTCTCGGCGGCGGCGCGCTGATTCCCATGGCGCAGGCCATCATGCTGGAGATCTTCCCGGCGGAGAAGCGCGGCACGGCGATGGCGGTGTTCATGATGGGCGTGGTGCTGGCGCCTGCCATGGGCCCGGTGCTGGGCGGCTGGTTGACTGATGCCTACGGTTGGCCGTGGATTTTCTACATCAACATTCCTATCGGCGCGCTCAGCGTTGTGCTGGTGCTGGCCTTCCTGCCCGAGGCGTCGTATTACGAGCGCGGCCTGGCGCGCATTGACGTGGTCGGCATCGTCCTGCTGGTGGTCGGACTGACGACCTTGCAGTTGTTCCTCGAACGCGGCGAGCGCGAGGACTGGTTCCAATCGCCCTTCATCATCTGTGCCGCGGCGATTGCGCTGGTGTCGCTGATCGCCTTGGTGCTATGGGAGTTGTGGGTCGAGGAGCCGGTGGTCAACCTGCGCGTGCTGAAGAACCTGCCCTTCGTCGGCGGCGTGTCGATGGGGCTGTTCTTCGGTCTCACCACCTTCGGCAGCATCTTTATTCTCCCCTTGTTCTTGCAGCAGATTCGCGGCTATACGGTGCTGGATTCCGGTCTTATTCAGATGCCGCGCATGCTGGTCGTGCTGTTCGTGGCGCCGATTGCCGGAAAGGTCTACGGACGCCTGGATAGCCGCCTGCTGGCCCTCTTCGGTACCGCCATCATGATGGCCGGGTACCTCGACATGTCGCGCTTCACCCTGGAGGTCGGCTGGGAGCGCATGCTGCCGGGGTTGTTGATGACCGGCGCCGGCATGGCGTTCCTGTTCAGCGTACTGTCGGCGGCGACCATGAGCGCCATTCCGCCGCCGCTGCTGATTGCCGCCTCCGGGATGTTCACGCTGTCGCGCCGCATCGGCGGCAACATTGGCTATGCCTTCGTGGCCAATCAGATCACCCACCGCGCTACCTTCCACCGCGCCCGGCTGGTGGACCACGTGACGCCCTACGACGCCGAAACGGCGCGGACGCTGGACGGCCTGACGGGTAGCCTGACGGCCCGCGGTTTGCCGCCCGGCACGGCGGAGTCGAGCGCCCTGCATCTCCTGGACAGCGTCGTGGACCGCCAGGCCACCATGATGGCGTACAACGACGTGTTCTGGATGATGGGCATGATGTTCGTGTTCAGCCTGCCGTTCCTGCTGCTGCTCGGCAGCGGCACCACTCCGGCGGCGCGCAAAGGCTGAGCGGATTCAACTATTGGACGGGTTATGGCGGACAGCGACGTATTGGGCTATGGCGGGTTGTTCCTGGGGTCATTTCTGGCGCCGACGATCCTGCCCCTGAGTTCGGAGGCCGTGCTCGCCGCCATGGTGATCGGCGGATTCGATCCCGTCGCGTGCGTGCTCGTGGCGTCCGCCGGCAATTCGCTGGGCGGCATGACGTCCTACTTCCTGGGCTATGTCGGTAAATGGGCGTGGGTGGAGAAGTTCTTTGCCCGCAATCGTGACAGGGTTGCCAGGGTGAAGGCATGGGCGGACCGCTACGGCAGTCGAGCCGCCCTGCTCTGCTGGCTGCCGGTTGTGGGCGATCCGCTGGCCATCGCCCTGGGCTTCGTGCGCAGCCCCGTCTGGCAGGTCGGCTTCTACATGCTGGCCGGCAAGTTCCTCAGATACGCCGTCTGGGTCTGGCTGATCCGCCAAGGTATGCGCCTTTACGACTGATTTCAGGGAGAACGCTGTTAATGATCCGATTTCTATTCTGGACAGGTTTAATCAGCGTCGTTGGGAGCTTCATCCGACGATGGGTCACCCCAGACACGAAGCTGGGCAGCGAGCACAGATCTCTGGAGCGCCCTGTAGAGAGGCGCCCCACAAAGTCAACGCGCCCAAGAAACGCACCAAGAAGAAACAATTACGAGCCACATGCCCTTGTAGAGAGGCGCCCTAATACTACAGTTGCAATTCCACGTTACGATTCTGGCGCCGTCGGTAATGACACCATCGCGCTACCCATTGATGCCGACGGCGCCATTTGCTCCATCCCAACACCTGCTCCACGCCGTGCCACACCCTCAGCACTAAACGCCAAAACAAACGCCGTATCTCCGCCACACTCAACACGACACCAGGCCCCGCGACGCTTTGAAGCCCAACAGACTGCTCACCGACGAGCGTTTTTTTTCCACCACCTGCAAGTGGGCGGCCCGCACGGCACTCAGCAACGCCAACGCCCACATCGACAAGGTGACGTGACGATACCACCCCGTCCAACTGCGAACCTCATACTCATCTAGTCCCACTTCACCCTTGGCCGCCTCAAAACACATCTCAATACACCAACGCCGACCCGCCACCGACACCAGCGTCGCCAAGTCCGTGCCGCACGGCGCATACACCGCATAGGCCGTCAACTTCCCGTCCGCTTTCAGGCTGCGACGCACCAGCAAACAGCGGCGCCAACCCGCCTGCGCCGCCGTCAACCCCACACACTGCCAGTCATAGAACCTCGGCCCCTTGCTCCCCGAACCGGCACTCAGTCGCTGCCAAGCCCCCTCGTCAAGCCCCGCAAGCACCGACTGCACCGAACACGGACGACCCTCAACCAGACACGTTCCTTGCCAGACACCGCCAACACATACGCCTTGCCTGCCCTTCCAACCACAGACGCAAGCGACGCGCGTCGCCGTAAACGCTGTCGCCCACCACCCACGAGGCAGGCACCCCCGAAGCAAAGGCGCGCTCAAGCATCGTCCGGGCTAACTCAGGTTTGGTGGCAAACTCTGCCTCTGGAGCAATGCCCGCCCGCTGGCAGCGCGCAGCATCCTCCGTCCACGACGCGGGCAGGTATAAGGCACGGTCCAGCAAGGTCTGACCCAGGCGACTGGCGTAGCCCACAAACACGCCAATCTGACAGTTTTCGACTTTGCCGGCCGTGCCGCTGTACTGCCTGGCCACCCGGCGGAGCGGTCGCCTTTTTTCAAGAATCCCGTCTCATCGACCACCAGCACCGCGTCGGGGTCGCCCAGGTGTGCCACGACGTAGGCACACAGGGCGTCTCGCAGGTCGTCGGCCTGCCACGAAGCCCGTCCGAGCAAGTGCTGGATGCCATAGGGCGTAGCATCGCCGTTGATTTCCGCCAACTGCCAGGCGTTTTTACGTTCTGTGGTGCTGAGCAGTCCTTCGATATAGGCCACGGCGCGTTGCCACGATTCCCGACGGCCAAAGGAGGGACGCAGGCACTGGTCCACCTCATGGAGACAGGCTTGCCAGCCCGTGACAGTCGTCATAGCCTGCCCCGTGCTTGACATGGGGTCGGCCTCGGTTGCGAGCGAGTTGAACGGCTGGCTTGACATCATGGCTCTCCTTCGCTTTGCGTTCAGGGAAAAGACCATGATAACAGCTAAACCGCAACTGTAGTACTAAAGCTAATGCGCCCCCCAGCGCCTTGAATCAACAGCACAGACTTACAGAGCACAGTAGAGAGAAGCGCCCGGCGCAAAAACCCATTGTTACGAGGAGCACCAAGGGTGCCAGCAGGGGCGTCAGTGGACGCTGTCAGTTCTGTGGACATCCGGCAATACCGGGGGACACTGTTTGCTATTCTTGCGCCAACTGACGCCACGTGCTTTCGTCGCCTTGTGCTGCTCTCCCCCGGCGAGGGAACCGGTTCAGGTCAAGACCCTTACTTCCCCTGCGACCGCCTCAGTTGTTCCATCTCTAGCGCAAACCACATGGCCATGGAACCGCCGCGGTTGTCGCGGCCGAAGACCGCCGGCCGGTCCAGGTACGCCTGCAGGCTGTCTTGGGCGCCGGTGTCGGTGCAGCAATCGACCAGGCCGCCGGCGTCGTCGATGCGCTCGGTGACGCCCCGCCAGGCGCGGTCCACCGAGTCCTGGTATGACTCGTCCAGCCAGCCGCGGCGCAGGGCGCGGGCCATGGCGTAACCCGTCATGCAGGTTGCCGTGAACTCGTGATACGAGCCGGGCGTGTCGAGCACCTGCGGGTACATGCCAGAGGCGTGTTGGCGGCTGCGCAGAGCCTCCAGGTGACGCACGTGCTGTTCGATCAACGCCCCGCGGTCGGGATGATCGTCGGGTAGGTACGTCAGCGTTTCGGCGTAGCCCAGAGCGGCGAAACCGTTGCCGCGCCCCCAGAACCAAGGCGTCGAACGGGCGTGCCAGAACAGGCCATCGTCCTGCTGGGTGCGGGCGGCAAGAAGGAACTGGGTGAGCAAGTCGAGGTAGCGGGTTTCGCCGGTAAGCCGGAAGGCGCGGCCCAGCATGGCGCCGTTCATAAACATGTCCTCGGTGCGGAAATCGGCGTCGGACGGCGGCGGCGCACCCCCGTCGATGCCGGGCTGGTAGTGGTCGGCCATCTGCACGATCAGATCGGCATAGCGGCGCTCGCGGGTTGATTCGGCCAGTTGCATGGCCCAGATCAATCCCGCCAATGCGGGGGTGCCGGGCTCGCCCTCGAACCACGGCTGGCTGCCCTCCACGTAGGGCGCCACGACGTCCGCGATGGCCGCCGACGGGTCGGAATAGGTGGGATCGAGGCGCGCCAGCCGCAGCCGTGCGCTGAGGCTCATGCCTTGCGTATACACGACGGGGTCGAGGCTGTGGCCGTAAATGGTGGCCAGCAGGCGGGCAATGCCCAGTGGTGGGCGGGTGCTTCGGATGTACAGTTCCCGGCGCGCCGGTGAGGTGCGCAGCCCAGGGGTTTTGCTGCAGCACCGACCACAGGCGGCCCAGTTCCTCCCGCAACGCGGCAGCGGGTGCGGTGAGCCGCAGGCCGGGCACGGCGCCGAGGCCGTTTGCCATGTGGCTGCCGAGGGCGGCCAGGAAGCTGCCGGCGGTCTCTTCCATTCGGGTGGCCTCGATGGTGGGCAATAACAGAGTCGCTGACGCCGAAGATACCCACGACACCGCCTCGCCAACTTGGACTTCGAGGATGAGATCGGGCGCTTGTAAGCCGACCCAGCGCCACAGATATCTTTGCTCCGGGTTGCGGCGATCGTTGAAGAAACCAACGATCGGCGGGTAATTCTCGGCGGGACGTCCGCCGGCCCCGTTTTCGGGTGCGACGCCCAGCGTCATGCCGTCCGGATTGGCGCACGGCACGGCGCTCAGGGCCACGGTGTCAGTCAGTGTCTCGCCGCCGTCGAGGTATATTTTCAGGGCATCCAGAGCCAGTGCGGTGTCGGCTTTCTCGCCGGACAAGCCGCTGAGCAACAATACGCGGGTGCGGGGCGTTTCCGTCACGTACGCCTCGCCGTGCAGCAGTGCTGGGATGGCCGTTTGGGAGCGGGTCAGGCCGGCCGCGTCCAGGCTCCACAGGCCATTGGCGGCGGTGATCAGTTGTTGCAGGTCTTTCGTGAAGGGCAAAGACTTCGACTCCATACGGCTTCATTCTCCAGACAGGTTGGCGATCAGGTGTGCAATCGCTCCAGCGTTGATGGATTTTTGTTAGCGGCGCGCCACTTGGTAGCACGCAGGTCGGCGCGCTGTCAATCGCAGGCTTGACACCCCGTCTGAGGGTGTCGAAAGCTAAAATACTGACGATAAACGATTCGGGGTTGTTGATGTGGAGGGGACGATGAGCCAGACGGTCGCGGGGTATCCCGCCACCTTGGCACGCTGCCGGGGCTGGCTGCGCTATCTGTACCGCAAGGCCACCACGCCGGACGATTGGAGCAAGGAGGGGCGGCCGCACCCGCACTGGGACGCTGTCAGCAACGAGCCAACGCTGTCGTGGCACCGTTTCGACCTGATCGAGTCGAGCTATGCCGTGGCTCTAATGGCCGACGCCACGCCCGCTTGGCGCGAGGTTTACAGCCGTGTGCTGGACGAGTTGATTCAACGGCACACTGGCTATTGGGCGGCCAGGGACTGGCTGGAACAGATCGGCCCCGACCCGCGGCGGGCGTCGTACCCCGAGGCGTGGTATGCGTATTACATGGCCCCGAAACTACGCGGCCAATACGACGTGCCGGGTTGGACGGCTAACGGTGTCGAGCCGTGGGGCCTGCAGATGGACCCCATCGGCGCCGACGGCAACCTGTTCTTCAAAGGTTTCTTGCTGCTGATGCTCGGCCTGCACCGCTATGTTTCGGGCGACGACAAGTGGGAGCAGCCGTTCGAGATGATCCGCGACGGGGTGCATACGTTCACGTGGTCGCACCGCGCCATTGCCGAACTGCTGGCCGATCAATGGGGCGCGCGGCACGAGGGGTGCCATTGCGAGAACACCAAAATCTGGCCCGTTTGACTGAGCGCCGCCGGCCTCGGTCTGGGGCTGTTCGACACGCTTTTCGGCACCGGCCTGAACGGGGTGTTCGAGCACTGGTGGTCGCACGCCGAAGCGCATTATGTGGGGCTGCGGAACGGCAAGCTGAGCGACACGCTGACCTTGTACTACGATCCCATTCTGCGCTATGACCACCGCCGCGGTCCCGAAAGCGCCCTGATGATGGCGGTCTACCTCGCGCCGCAGAAGCCCGAGGTGGCCGAGCTGATTCTCGCCGCCGGCGCCGAACGCCTCGGCTGGACGACCGACGCCCCGTTGCGCGAGCCGCGCGGCAATCCCCGTTTCACCCTCTGGGGCCTCATTCTGGCCCGCGAGTTTGGCGACGACGCCATCTACGACAAGCTCCACGCCCACTGCGAAGCGCATCACGAACCCACTTGGGAGGCAGCCACCGGCGAATTCAGCTGGGGTTTCGGACTCAACGAGCCCCACCCGCGCGGCCAATTCAACGCCACCCGGATGATGGCCGAACCCCTGTCCGAGGGCGCTTGGCGGCGGCTGTTCAACGCACCCAATCTCCGCAAGTTCAGCGAACCGGTGGTGTACGGCGTCGATTTCCCGACCGTCTGTCTCTCCCAAGCCTGCTACGACGCTGCCCGTGGCCACCTCGTTATCGCAACCGATGCCGGCCTTCCCGACGCTGCGGGTCGCCCGACGTCCTTCCGCGTGGCCAACCTCGACCCCGCCTCGTGCCAAGTGGAAATCGACGGCCGTCCGTCTGACGACTGGCGCATCGTTGAAGGCGAGGTGGAGATCACCACCACCGTCGCGGAGCACGTCATCCTGGTTACGCATGAGGCCGGTGGCCTTACGTAGGGCGGATTAACCGTAAGCGTCATCCGACATTCCCATTCAGATCAAGCCATGCTCTGGCAACTCGTTCGGATTGTCGGTAAGCTGGCTCAATTGCCGTGCCGCAAGGCGAGTTTCCTGCGCGTAGATTTTGGGAGATTGTGATGAAAAGAACGTTCGTGATTGCCGTATTCATCGGTGTGTGTTTCATGCTGAACGGGTTCGCTGTGGCCGAGGAGAAATCGACGGATGCCATCGTTTCGGATCACATGGTGGCGGAGGCGATGTTGACGGCCCATTTCATCGACGCGGCGCTCAAGGCCGGAATGGGCACTGACGACATCAATGGCGTGCTGGCCAAGGTGGCGGATCAGACGGTGATCTCGGAGTTCTGGATCAGCGACGAGACGGGGCGCATCGTCTTCAGCAATATCCAGGGGGCGGCGTTTGCGTTCCCGACGGACCCTGACGCCGGCGCCCAGGCGACACCGTTTGCAACCCTCCTGAGCGGTGAAGAGACGGTCGTCGTCCAAGGTGTTCAGCCGCGCGAACTGGATGCCGCTCCCTTCAAATACGTCGGCGTTGCGGGGGTCGACCAGTCTCGCATCGTTCAGGTTGGGTTATCTGGCGCCGAAATGGAATAGCGCTGACCCTCAGCAGCGCACCGCTGAATGGTTAATGCGTGTCTGACCTGAAGACCTTGCGGTGGAGGTGAAACATGAGACAGGTGCTCATTTACCCCGGCGAAGATGGCTATTGGGTCGCCGAATGCCCCGGGTTGCCCGGTTGCATCAGCCAGGGAAGGACAAAGCAGGAAGCCATCGTCAACATCAGAGAGGCGATTCAAGGCTACATCGCTTCTCTTGAGGAGGATGGGCTGCCGGTTCCCGAAGAACGCTTTGAGGCGCTGATCGTGGCCGTATGAGCAAGTTGCCGAGTATTTCAGGCAGGGCCTGTGTCAAAGCCCTTGGCAAGATCGGGTTCTACCTGAAGAGGCAGCACGGGAGTCATCTGATTCTGCGTCGCGACCATCCCTTCGCGCAAGTTGTTGTTCCTGATCACCAAGAACTCGACAAAGGCACATTGCGAGCCATCATCAGGCAGGCGGAGGTCGGTGTAGACGAGTTTGCAAGGCTGTTGTGAAACCGTGTCCACCAGGCGGCCTGGACTCCGGTTCTTTTCGTGCCGGGCGTGTGGTAGGATGCCGCTCGTTAAGTTCGGGTTAAGATGTGGTCTGGTTTCAGAACGTCAAGGCATTAGCAAGGGGAGGAAGTCATGGCTGGTCAGCGTCCATCGCCATTGCTCAGCGCGGCTATGCCGCGCCGTCGGTTTCTGCACACGCTCGGCGCCGCGGGCGGGGCGGCGTTGCTGGGTTCCGCCGGCCAGCCGCAGCGGGTGTACGCTCGCAAGGGCACGATTCGCATTTTCAACAACGAAACGGACCCCGACACCATTGCCTTCCTGAAAGCAATGGCCAAGACCTATCGGGCCGAAACCGGTGTGCGGGTGAAGATTGAAACCGTGCCGGTGATGCAGACGGCCACCAAGGTGACCACCGCCATCAAGGCCGGCAAGCCGTACGACTTCATCATCTTCTTCACCAACCTGGCCATCCTGCTGGCCGAGGAAGGCCAGCTCGTCCCCCTTACCGACATCATCCGCGAAGTTGGCGAAGCGGATTTCGGGCCGCGCGCCCTGCGCTTGTTCAAGGACGACTACTGGCTTTACCCCTACGACTACAACTTCAATTACCTGCTCTATCGCAAAGACCTGTTCGCCGAGAAGGGCCTGTCGGTGCCCAACGACTGGGACGAGTTCCTGGAGGTGCTGCGCGCCCTCAACGACCCGGACAACAAGCGCTACGCCATCACCCTGCCCTACGGCGGCACGCATACCCTGTGGGGCAACTCGGCGTTTCTGTGGGCCGCCGGAGTGGAGTTTTACGACGACGAGTGGAACGTCATACTGGATTCCGACGACATCAAGCCGCGCGCCATCCGAACCCTCGAGTTCCTCGCCGAGGTGGCGAAATACACGCCGCCGGGACCGATGGAAACGAGTCTGAAGGACATGCTGATCAACTTCTCGTCCGGCCTGTCGGCGATCACCTCGTACACCGGTCGGGCTATCCACACCATCGAAGACCGCAATCCGGAACTGGCCGACAAATACGGCATCATGTCCTATCCGGGACCCGACGGCGGGCACCGGGCGGTGACGTACGGCGACGATGGCTTTTCCATCGGCAAGACGGAAAATTCCGAATTGACGGTGGACTTCTTCCGCTGGTTCCTCGACACCGAGCGCCTGATCGATTATCAGCTCACGGTGCCGTTGCATTACCAGCCAACGCAGTTCTCCACCTACGAGAACGAAAAATGGCGCAGTCACCCGCTGATCGAGAAGCACCGGGAGGCGGTTGACATGATGCGCGAGTTCATGAACACGGATACCACGCTGGTCGGCTCCATTGACTTTCAGGGCCCCCACCCGTCGCCGAACCATGCCCGCTTCGCGATTTCCAACGTCCTCGGCAAGATGTACCAGAACGTGCTGATGAAACGCCAGACCCCGAGCGAGGCCGTGGACGCCGCGGCCGAGGAAATCCGGGGTTTTACCACGAGGAGCTGAGGCCATGATTACCCTGCGCCGCGCGGCTTCGCTGGCGCTGCCGGCGCCGCGAGAAATCTCCCGCGTCGGTCCCCTGGAACGGCGCGACCGCAAGCTGTTTCTCGCCTTTCTGGCGCCCGGCATGCTGCTCGGCATCGGAGCGCTGTTCATCCCCGTCCTCTACGCCATCCAATTGAGTTTTTTCCACGCCGAAAGCTTTATCGACGAGCCGACCTTCGTGGGGCTGGCCAACTACATCCGGGTGCTTTCCGAGCCGCGTTACTGGGAGGCGTTCTGGCACGGGGTGTTCTACGCGGTGGCCACGGTCGCCCTGCAGGTGGTCATCGGTATCGGCATCGCGCTGCTGCTGCACCAGGAATTTCGTGGCCGCAACCTGCTGCGCAGCGCCGCGCTGGCGCCGTATATCCTGCCGACCGTGGTGGTGGTGTACATCTGGAAGTGGCTCCTCAACGTCAACTACGGCATTTTCAACGCGTTTCTGGAGAACGTCGGTGTCGGCCCCATTGCCTGGTTCACCTCGCCCACGGCCGCTTGGTTCTCCATCATTTTCGTCAGCGTGTGGTACTGGACGCCGTTCGTCACCATCACCTTCCTGGCGGCCTTACAGACCGTCTCCGATGATCTGTACGATGCCGCGGCGGTGGACGGCGCCAATGCCTGGAAGCGCCTCATTCACATCACCCTGCCGGTGCTCAAGCCGGTGCTGATCGTCATCGTCATGCTGCGAACCATTTTCATGTTCAACAAATTCGACATCGTGTGGCTGATGACCAACGGCGGTCCGCTCACCACTACCGAGCACCTGCCCATCCTGGCTTACGTCAAGACCTTCGACATGTTCGACATCGGCGGCGGCACCGCCATCGCCACGTCGATCTTCGTGTTCCTGGCTGCACTGATCTGGATTTACTTCTGGATGTTTCCGCTGGAGGAGCACTAAATGCGCAAGACGAACTGGGTCTTGATCCGCCGCGTTTTCCTGGGGCTGCTCTTCGTCGGGGTAATCCTGTACTCGCTGTTTCCGATATACTGGATGGTCATTTCCGGCCTGCGCGCCGGGCGCTCGCTGTTCGAGCCGTTGCTGCTGCCGGGGCCGTACTCGTGGCAGGGCTACAAGACCATCCTCAGCCTGACGGACTTCCCGACGTATTACGTCAACAGCATTCTCATCGCCATTGGCACCACCGTGCTGACCGTGGCGGTGGTGACGCCGATGGCTTATGCAATGGTGCGCAGCCGCCTGCCGGGCATGATGCTCATGGTACGGGCGATGCTGTTCGCCTACATGTTTCCCGCCCTGCTGCTGGCCATCCCGATTTACATCTTTCTGGTGAAGATCGGCCTCGACGACACGCGCCTGAGCCTCATCCTGACGCACAGCACCTTCACGCTGCCGCTCGGTGTGTGGCTGATGTGGGGATTCTTCAAGAACTTTCCGTTCGAGGTGGAGGAGTCGGCCTTCATCGACGGCTGTTCCCGTCTGCAGGCCATCTACCGCATCATCATGCCCCTCACCCTGCCTGGCGTGCTGACGGTGGTGCTGTTCGCTTTCGTGTTGTCGTGGTCGGATTTCGTCTTCTCGCTCATCCTCATCACTTCCGATGAGCTCAAAACCCTGCCCTACGGCCTCGCTTCCATCGACGATGCCTACGACGCGAACTGGGGAGAACTGATGGCGGGTTCAACCATGATCTGCCTGCCCCTGTTGGCCCTGTTCGCCTTCCTCAGCCGCTATTTCATCCGCGGCCTCAGCATGGGGGCGGTGAAGAGTTAGGGAAGAGCCGGTGCGCGACGCACGGCTCTTCAGGCCGCTCAATTCGCCATCAAAACGCCAATACCTTCTTAGGGTTGTCAATTAAGATCTTGCTGATCACCCGTTTTTGTAATGCCAGCCTCGTTCAAGTTTGGAACTACCTCCGACAGGATCAACGTCCACGGGTCTTCCTTGAACAGCCACCAATCCGACTCGCGCTTCTCCTCCTGCCAGAACGTCCGGTAAAAATAAGGAACGGTGTCGTGGCTCAGGAGGAGTTGATCCTCATAGCCCGCGTCCAGCAGCGGCCGGATGTACTCCGCGCGATCTTCCACCGGGTAGTTCGGGTAGCCGATGCGGTCAAACTGCACCCATACCCCCAGGTCCGCAAGTTGCTTGTGGTAATCCGTTGCGCGGACGTTTTCGCGATCATCCTTGTAGCCTTGATGCCCGATGATGATTTTTTGCGGGCTAACGCCCAGGAGAGTAGCAATTGGGCCATCTCCAGGCCGCCACCGTCAGTGGTGTGGACGCTGATCGGACAGCCCGTTTCGATGCAGGCCAGACCCGCCGCGGTATTGGCGCGCCGTTCCAGGGCGGTCAGATAGGTGCTCGTGGCGATCTTGATGATTCCGGCCTTGACGTCCGTGAAGACAGTCCCGGGCTCTCCGTAAGGGTCTTCCATCCCTTCGGTGATTTCCTTGATATAGAGCCGTGTGACCTGCTCGATGCCGTCGGGTTGCACTAGCATGGCGACGGCCCACAGGTGCATGGGGGCCAGGGCCTCGCCCCAAAAACCGGTGCAGCCAACGATGTGGACCGGGCTTTTCTTGGCCATGTCGACAATCAAGTGGGGATAGCGGCCCACCCGGATCGGCGTTACCTCGACGAGTGTGCCGTTTTCGGCCCAGCCGTCGAGTTGGCTGTAAAAAGCCTGTAAGCCGCTCACCGCTTGGTCAACGACCTGCTGGCGGAACGACCCCTCAATCGGGGCGATGGGATGGCCGTATAACTCCGACCAGTCGATGACCGGCGCATGCTCGTGCATGAGGGTGACGCCGAGATCGTCCGGCGAAATCGGGCCTAGAACCGTCTGTACCTTCGGCCCTTCCCCGTTGTCTGACGTTTGTGCCTGCGCGACTTGCGTATGCTCAACCAGCGCCTCACCGAGGGTCGCCATGACCGCCAGAGCCGAGGATGTTTTGACGAAATCCCGTCGGGTCATCCCGAATCCGTTATCGTTGCCTGTGTCCATGAGGTGCTCCTTGTTCGCAGGGGGAGTCGAGACCGTTGCGTGGGGCGAACTATATCGCCATTTGTTGCACAATGGAACACAGACCCCCCGCGTCTTCCCCTAAGTTCCGCTCATTTCCTTTGATTTCCATCCATTAGGTGGGCAGTGCCGAATTTCTGTGGAAATCTCGACCCTCAGAACACGGACAATTTGGCGGACAGTCTCGGCTCATCTAAGCTCGACTTTGTACAAAGTTGGTCAAGTGAGCCACTTGCAAAACTCCGCTAGTTTGGCCTCGGAGCGGTTG